TTCAGTTCTGGTTAATTTGCTCCTTTACTTCCTTGAGTGTTTCTTCCCTTCCATTCTGATCTGCCCAGACCTCCTGTCGGATACATGCTGGTCTTCCGAATTTAGCCTCTGGGCCTTGTGACATCCCCCCGTGCTTTGTCCCATGGTGCTGCCCTCTGAGGGGTCTCGTTCACCTTCCGGCTCACGATCTGCTCTCCAGCTCTGTCCACCCTGCTCCGGTCGTTGGCTTTTCAAAGCTGAAAGTCCTCTCCCGTTTCCGTGTGTAGCCGTTTTTCTCGTTCCCTTCTCTTCTCACGTGCTGGTTCTTCTGTTTCCTGAGCGTGGTCACCCTCTTTCACGGCATTGTTTCTCCAGCTCTGGCGGTCCCTGGCGTCTGCTCGTCACTGTTNAGGTGCCAGGGTCCTATAAACAACGAGCTCTCACGGGAACTAATAGAGCAAGAACGCACTCATGAATCCCCCCTCCCCCAGGGAGAGCATTAATCTATTCATGAGGGATCCGCCCCCATGACTCAGTCAGTTTCCAACACTGCCACATTGGGGATTGGATTTCCACATGAGTTTTGGAGGAGACAATACATCCAAACTCCATCATTTGTATAAGTTGTATATGAAATATAAATGAATTTTGTATTTAGACTTGGGTCCTGGTTAGCTAAGTTGGTTAGAGCACATCCTTATAACACTAAGGTCATGGCTTCAGATCTCCGTACCAGCCAATTGCCCAAAAAAAAAAAAGAAAAAGAAAAAAGAAATAGACTTGGGTTCTATCCCTAAGATACCTCATTATATATATGCAGATATTCCAAAATCCAAAAAAATACAAAATCTGAAACACTTCTGGTCCCAAGCATTTCAGGTAAGGAACACTTAACCTGTGTTTTATTCTCCATACATATGTATATATTAAAATCAACTTTATTGAAGAATAATTTAAATATAACAAAATGTGCCCATTTGATGGATGTAAACAAATGTATATACCCCTGTAGCCACCACTCCAGGCAAGATTTGAAACCTTTCTGTCCCCCGATTCCCCTCGTGCCCCTCCGTGGCCAGTCCGCGTCCCAGCACATGCTGGTCTGCTTTCTGTCGCTGCAGATGAGTTTTGCTGATGTAGAATTTCCTCTGAATGAAATTGTACAGTGTTTTGGGTCTACCCTCTTGGGGGTAGACCATCATAGTTTTGAGATTAAGGCATATTGTGGTATCAGTAGGTTGCTCCTTGGTCACTGTTCACTAGTTTTCTGTTGTTTGAGTGAACAACAGTTTATTTCTATTTTCTCTGTGTTAGTTTTGGTAATTTGTGCGTTTTGTTGAGTTTGTTCATTTCAGCTAATTGTTGGCTTTATTGGCACAGCTGGGTCCCCTGCTCGGTCTCACCAGGCTGGAATCAGGTGTCTCTTGGGACCTGTCCTCTCGCTGGAGGCTGGTGTCCCCTTCTATACTTTTCCAGGTTGTCGGCAGAATTTGTTTCTGCAGCAGTGGGGCCGAGGTCTCCGTTTCCTTGCTGGCTGTCAGCCACGGTCGCTCTCCGTGCTGAAAGCCCCCCCAGGGAGCCTCTCACAACACAGCAGCCACACCCTCAAGGCCAGCAGAGGGGTCTCCCTCCAGTCTCACACAGCGTTACCATGTCACAGCCTGGAACAGGAGCAGCCTCGCCCTGGTCACGTCCCACCCGTGCCCTTGGACTCTGCGCACCACACGTGACTCCGTCCCCTCCAGCCCCGGCGCTGAGAAGTCAGATACTAGTCCAATTCTTGTTCTTTTCTCTCTCTCAAGCCTTTAGCTTTTGTTCCTGTCCTTGGTACTACAAGATTTCGCCACCCAGC